GCTAACCCTGTGTTGCCTCGGATGCGCTCGCTGACCCCGTCGGGGTTCGTCGAGCCTGGCCCGGGCGATTGCAAGGCCAGTCTTTGCATTCGTGGCAACGCATCCACCTCCACTTCCTCTCGCTGGGCTCCGGGACCCACCGCCCATGTCCGTCTGGGAAGTGCTCGTTGCGGTCCCGGTCCTCGCTGACCGCGTCGCGCTGCCTCTCGGCCGCGGCCGCTCTCGCGCGAGCCTGAGCTGCGGCGGGGCCCGCGCCTGCGCCCGCGGCAGAGCCTGACTCCGCAGCGCCGCAGGAGTGACAGACCCTGCCGCAGCGCTAGCAAAGAGCCCGGCGCCGCATCGGCCTGCGACGGAGCTGCGGCGTCGCCCCGCCCCGGCGCGGCCGCGGCGACGATCGCCCCCGCCCCATTGCGGCCCAGCTGCCGCGCAAACTCCCGGCGGCGGCCCAGATGGCCACGGAGTAGCAGCTTGTTCGGGCGCGAGTGCATGCGCTCAGCGCCCTGCTGCAGCCCTGGCCGCTCGCGGTTGATCCGGGCCGCGTCGAACGAACCGCCGCTCGCGTGCAAGATGTCTCGGGTGATGTTTGCCGCGCGCGAGTCCGCGTCGCCGCTGGGCGTCGCCGCCGCCCCCGCGCCGGCTTCGCGGCTCCGCGCCGGCGCTTGCGTTGGCAGAGCCCGGCGCGCGGCGCCGACGACCGGCAACCGGGCCGCCGACGCGGGCGGCGCGATCGCCCAGCGCTTCGGGCACAGGGCAACTTTAGACGAATTTCACAGCTGAAGCTGCGCCGTGGCGTGCTGGCATGCGGTCTCCGACGCCTCGTCTTCTGTCGCGCCTGCCCTCGCGCCGTGTAATGGGGGGATGGCCCAGTGCGCGCTCGGAATCATGTCGCGGGGGGTGAGCTCGATCCAGAATTCGCGTTGGAGCTCGGGGGTGGGGCGGGCGGGGGTGGGCGAGCGGGCGAGGGTTTCGGCTGGGGGGGGCAATTCAAGATGCGCGAGGTCCATGAGTAAGTGGGTGGGGTGGGTGGGCGGGCGGGGGGGGGTGTTGGGACGCTACCGGCGAAGCACCCGTGGGTGCGAGGTGGGTTGATATCGGCGAGGGCGACGGAGCCAATTCTGGGTGCAAGTCCCAGCTCGTGGCCAAGCAAGTCGGATGACAATTTCCCAGAAAATCGCATTCGCAGCCGCCCCTCCATTGGAAGCTCAGATTCTTCATTCAATGATTGACACTGAGGAAGGCGACATATCCGAGGGGGGCAGAAGGGGCTCCAGCTGGGGGTTATAGATGCTTAGCGGGCGTATCTTTATGCCGGGGCCATCCTTCCGGTTGCCCGAAAGAGATCGCGCCCTGGGCGCGTGTGAAATTATAGGCGTCGCTGCTCGGCATTCGGGGCGCTGCCGGGAACTGGGGGTGGGGGGCGGGGTGTTAGAAGGATTTTGCGCAGCGTTGGTTTTGGCAATGGGAAACGATTGCCGTGTGTTTTTAGATGTGTGACGCGGGTGATCTGGTTAACAGATCATTGGCGATCATGTAGATTGGGCAGCGACATGGACCTCGGTTGGTTCGAAGGAGAAAGCGAACCATACATTCGAAGTCAATGTTCCGACGGGCCCGGGCCAGGGCAGAAAGATTTGAAGCCGATCCGGATTCTCATCCGAGTTGTGAAATGATACAGGAATGGGGCATTGCATGGGGCGGATCAAAGGCGCGATGTGCTAGGTTGAACAGCCTTGCGGAGAACGAGAGAATGAGGCGCCCCGATCAAAAACACGCAGTTAAGGGATGCCAAACATTAGTTGCCCGACCCAAATATAAGGCGCACTACCGTTGAGACACGCAGTTTTCAGTGAAGGAGCTTGCGCGATCTATGTCCGCTCCGACCCGAAGGGTTTGGAAGTCCGCGAAGCTGTGTAAGTGCCTCAAGAACCGCGACAGGCGTGCACATCAGTGCTTGTGCCAGGAGCGCCCTCAGGAGTTAAAGGGGTGGGCCGACCCTGATTGCGCCAGATGTAAGAGGACGCGTAAATCAACGAGTGGCGGGGCAGTTCTGTGGGATCAAATCGTGGAGGTCGAATGCCATCTTCAGGAGAAGCGGAGTCTCGATGCCAGTGCGCTTAACTATTGTCATCGCGAACCGGCTGGGACTGGCTGAAATCAGGCACGTCGAGGTATGTCAGGTATGGCTGCAAACGTAGGTGAGACGGCGACACATCCAAGTGGCCAAACCAGGAACGCGTGAGAATATTGCAGCTGCTTTGACCAACGGTGCGAGCATGGGTGACATCAGTCCGCGTGCGAGGTACAACTCAACATACCGTTGGTGGTCAGGATTCGTTGAGATCCAGGTGTTCGTCTACGCCCACCATGGAACAAGTGGATCACTCTGCGTAACCTGGTGCAGTGCGATCCTTCAAAAGACCCAGACCATCGTCGCTTTTTGTCTGCGCCAGTTATTCCGTTTTTTAAACGCACGTAGATTCGCCGCGTTGCGTCTTACAGC